CGTGCAGGGCCCGTTCACCGGGCAGGATGGGGGCTGGAGCGGGGGAAGCTGGCGGACGGAGCCTATCGGCTCCGTTCGCCGCTGGGCTGAAAGCGGCCCTTAGTCTATGTGGGGAAGATGGCCGCTCAGAAGACGCTGGCTCCGATGACTGGCTCCCTCCCCTCCCAGCCACCCAGCCAATGGCAGGGCAGGTTGGCTGAGGGAGCCAGTCATTGGAGGCAGCTCTTCTGAGTGGCATATTTTCCGCCCATACACTAACGGGGCGCATTTTAGAATTCTGGCACCCGAAACTCCTTTATAATAAAGGAGAGATATGCACATAAAATATGGCATGCACCTCTTCAGACCACTTGAAAACGATGATACCCGTACACACCCTGCTTCGCAAATACTGCAACTGAACACATATCCAACTGTATTCATGCACACCCTTTCAAATTTGACAGTCTGCATTTATTCTAGGTACCTGTACTGATGACGGAATGCAAAGTCAGCATTGGCTCTGAATGTAACACAACAACTCCAGCTGATGGATGACAATACCATTCTTTGCTAGACACTTTATTTTATGAAGTAAAGTAACTGAATAAAATGTAATGAAGTGAATGCACATTTGGAACATTTTGCACACCCATTTGTCAATGTGACAGTAATACATACTAGCATAGTACATACATTTCCATTGAGTCACGTTCTGACCGAGCAGCCTTCTAATCTATAAAGCAAATATTATTGTGCTATCTCAGAAATGAATTACACTTTTGGGCATGAGCTTGCTGCATCACATGTATGAGCTAGGCAAAGAAAGTGATAGTCCTAGATACATACTAGAGATAAACTAGAGCTGTGATTTCCAGCCCATGGCTTGGGGCCCTAACAAGTCCCATAGAGCGACCTTTTCCCTTCTTTTTGGAATGACCTGCTGCTAATGCACGTGTACAGTGTTGGGATCCAGACTAAGTTTTCTACTCACTCAAGGAACTTCTGTCAGTGGAACAAAATGTTCCCCCCTCCCCCCACCACTGCAGTTCACTGAACCCCCTAAAATGCTGCTCCTGAGGTACAGGTTTCCTCAGGAGCACCATGGGAGGCAAATCAGGGGATAGGAATGGGAAACTGGTAGAAATTACTCCACCCCTTCTGTTAAGCAGGGAATTTAGTCTGGCTATAGCCTGCCCAGACTTGATGCAGTCAATGGAATTAAGCATCTTAATTATGTATAAGCTTGTAGCTAAGGGGAACACAAAAAACATCTTGGCAGCTGAAGTACAAACATGAAGCAAACCTCCAAAATATTTGCTGGAGCACTAAACATGCCTAAACTGCATAAGCAAATGGTAAACAGTTATTTTTTTTAATCATGAGTCAGCCTTTTCTCAGACCCAGATAAATGTCATCAGATTTCTTAATCAAGTTCCAGTTCTGCACACACTAATTTTTATTATATTGCTACTGCATTTCTGAGGGCAGAGGGAGAGGTTCCAGGGAGATTTCCATAGTATTTGCCTAGCAATGTTCTACCATTTATGAGACCAATCTTATTATCCACTGCCCTGCTTTTATTAGTATTTTGGCTAACAGTAGAGAGGAAAAACCTGGCAAATGTTATTACCAGTAATTGTGAACGGAATTGAATTGTGGGATCATTAATGCACATTTAATGTTCTAGACATTGCATTTTATTTATTTTTCCATTTTCTTTTCTTGCTTTACAGCCAAATATTCTGGCTGAGCTTCTAAAGGCAAATATGAACCAATTTAAAATATTGATGGGAGCCCTAAGGTGGATCTTATGCACTGGTTACAAGTCACTTATAGGCATCCAAATGGGTAATCAGCACTCCTGTCTCCTGGATTGCCAACTCACTGTAACTCACTGATTTAAACACTGAGAAAATATTAGCTGCTAAACTGCTAATTAAATCCAGACTGGTAGATCCCATGAAGCAGTAAGATATGACTGTTGTATGTACCCTATTAAATATGTTATCTGTTTATTTCTCAAGGCACTTCCCTCTTGTTTTCTTGAAGATCAGTTGAAAACTGAGAAGGTGTAACAAATTAAAATCCCCTTGATGAGGTCACTCTTTTAAACAAGGACAACATTGGCCCATTCTGCATCTAGCATTTGGTCTGCTGTTTTACCAAACCCACGTTGGAACAGAAATTCCCCTCTATATTGCATGCCACTTTCTGTTGGATTTTACAGTAGCGTCCACACTGCATGCCGCTTTCACTTCCTTTGATCTCTCGGTTTCATGGTACTGTCTGCATAGATTTATGGCCGTTCTGGGGTGACTCTGCAGTCAGTACGGTGTTGGCCCAGGGTATTTGAATGTGGTTTTGAGTCACATCTTTTTCTGTTCCAGTGTGGGTTTGGTAAAACGGCGGAGCAAATGCTAGATGCAGAATGGACCATTGTCCTCTTTCCAGCCATGTAAGCCTGTTCTCACAGCAGCTCTTGTAAGCAAGACAGAGCTGTGCATAAGCATTGGGATCCAGTGATTCCTCTGGGGGGGGGGGAAGGGTGTCTCTTGCGACAGACCACTCCATGGGGAGCATCACTTCTGAGGGAGTGAAGATGCTCGGTTATGCCAAGTGAGATGAAATTTAAGCTTCGCTGGTTTAGAAATGACACCCCAAAAAGATGCACGACTCCAGGACACAGCAGCTGCAGGGTTGGGTTACCGTCACTCGCAAAGCCTTGCAGCTCTTTTACGGCAGTTCATTTCAAGCCAAAACCTTCCAGGACCATGTAAAGAACTGTTTGGCCATTAAGGTTTTTACCTAAACACTTTGCTTCCTGAATTAGATTTCTCTAGAACGAACAGTTACTCTGGCTGTGATTGTGAGGTAATGGTTTTAAATCCTGTTAATACCTAAAGAACCTACAAAGCATGACTTCAAATAATTTTGCTTGTGCATGGCTTTTTCTAATGCTTAGATGCTGTGAATAGGATTTAAACAATACCAGTGAGCATGGGGAATGATAACACAATTAGGTTAGTATAAAATTTGTTTACAATCTAATTTTGCTGTAGAAATTATACCATGTTTTTCCTGTTTCTAATTATAGTCTTCCATTCACTCAGATGACAGCTATATGTTTTTCTTGTGGATAACTGCAGCAGAATCCTAGAACTTTGTTTGTGTGTGTGATTTATTATTTTATCTTTGGTTTTAACTGAAAATGTTTTAAATTATTATTGTAAGCCACCTTGAACCACAAGGAGAGGTGGGATATAAATGTTAAAAATTTTAAAAAAATGTTTTAAAATATGTATTATGTAAGTCCTCTTTGCCCTGACCTAGATAGCCTAGGCTAGCCCAGTCTCATAAGCTAAGCAGGGTCTGCCCTGGCTAGTATTTGGATGGGAGACCTCCAAGGAATACCAGGGTCCTGATGTGGAGGCAGGCAATGGCAAACCACCTCCAAACATCCCTGGCCTTAAAAACCCTACGGGGTCGCCATACATCAGCTGTGACTTGATGGCACACACACACACAAAAAGGCCCTCTTTAGAACATCCTCCAGAGTGGAGCCAGGCAAAATATTTTCTTTGAGCAGACAGTGGGCTGTGTTAGGATTGCAAGAAATACAAATAGTACAGCTGCTAACTATTATGTTCTCATTGATGGGAATGGGGCCCTGTGTGTTCTGTTTAATGATACACTTGACTTTGAGTTTTCCAAACTTACGTTGTTGGCTTGGATGGAAAAGAAGTTCTATGAATTGCATACAGTGCTGTCCAGGCTGAGAGGTAGAGCTCATGAACCTGGGCAGACCAATTATCTTCTGCATCAAAGGAAAGTTATATTCTGTAAAATGCCAATGGATATTGACAAAAATCTATGTACATTTCTTTTGTGTGTTTAGATTAGCATGGATTAGGTTTAATGCCTGTTTTTTGGACCCACAGTAGAACAGGAGTGCTATATATATAATTCCCTTATATGTTGGCCATTTCCACCTCTCCTATTGGCTGTGCAGTGCACTCCATCAGTCACTGGCCCATCAACCACTACTCAAGAGTACTCAAGTGCCATTGGCTGGGTGCTGGGTCTGCTTCTCTCCACCACCACTGCCAGCCTGGACATCCTTCTCTCACAGAATAAACTGCCAAATGGCTGTCTCTCCTGACAAAGATATTTCTCCTGCTTGGCTCCTGTGGGACTAACTTTTCCCTCAGTGGCTGTTGCTAGGCAACCAAGCTTGGTTCTGTCAGTAAAAAGGCCTTTTTGGGGAACTCATTGGGGCCAGTCCTGAATAGGGTTGCCAGCTCCAGGTTGGGAAATTCCTGGATATTCTGTGGTGGAGTCTACAGAAGCCAGAGTTTGGAGAGGAGAGAGGCCTCGTCTGAATAGAATGCCATAGAGCCCACCCTCCAAAGTAGGTATTTTCCCCGGGGGGGGGGGGAAGATCTGTTGCCTGGAGTTCAGTTGTTATACCCGGCAGTCTTCAGGCTCCATCTGGAGGCTAGCTACCCTAGGCATAGCAGTTAGCACTTCAGAGCAGGGGCTGCCAAACCCAGGTACTTGTTGTGGAAGTTGAGTGGGTGATTTCGGACCAGTCACAGACTTTCAGCCTAACCTACCTCACAGGGTTGTTGTGCAGATCAAAAGGAGGAGAGGATAATTATGTAAGCTGCTTTGGTCTCCACTGCAGAGAAAGACTGTACTTTTCCTCCTGGGGAACCATTGCTGCCAATCTCCAGATGAGTTGAAAGGAAGCAAAAAACCGTAATGTATACTGCCAAAAAAAGGTTCTTCATCAATTTGTAAATTCTTTTTTCAGTATTCAGTTTACTAGAAGCAATTCAAATGCCATCAACACCAACAAACCATGCATATTACATCTCATTTCGTGTATACCTTTATCAAAGTGGGTAGTGTTGAAATACCTATATAACGTTAATCCATTTGGCAAACACTCTAGTTATATCTCATAGTCACATTAATCAAATCCATTAGTGTGACTATGTAATATGCGTGGTTCGTGGGTGTTGATTGCGTTTAAATTGCTTCCAGTAAACTGAATACTGAAAAAAGAATTTACAAGTTGGTGAAGAACTTTTTTTTTGGCACTATACATCACGGTTGTTTGCTTCCTTTCAACTTACATCCTGTGATCTCTCTCTTTGGTTTGCAATTCCAGGTGAGAGCTGGAGATCACTCAGAATTAAAACTGCTCTCCAGATGGCAGAGATCAACTCCCCTGGAAAAACGGCTGCTTTGCAGGGTGAACTCTGTGTCATTATACCCTGCTGAGTTCGCTTCCCTCCTGCTTGGGTCCCCACTGCAGAGAAAGACTGTAGTTTTCCTAGGTAGAGGCTACAGGGAGGGGGGAAGATATGGAAACCTGAAGTCAGAGAGGAAGATAACGGTACATTGATGGTTGACTTGGAAGGAAATAGAGTTGCCACCTCCAAGTTGGTAAATTCCTGGAGATTTGAGGGGTGGAGCCTGGAGAGAGTGGGGTTTGAGGAGGGGTGGGACCTCAGACTGGTACAAAGTCATAGACTCCACCCTCCTAACCAGCCATTTCCTCCTGGAAAACCATTGTGCCAATCTCCAGGGGAGGACTGGAAATCACTCAGAATTACAACTACTCTTCAGATGGCAGAGATCAGTTCCCTGAAGAAAACGGTAAGCTCTGTGTCATTATACCCTGCTGAGGTCACCACAACAAATTGGTGCTGCGTGTCCAAGGCCAGGGCACCCATCCAGAGCCTCTTTCTAGAGCTCGTTGTATTTATTTCCACAACAGGCCTTATTCCTAGTATGTAAATAAATCAGGAATGTTGGTGAAAGTAATTATGAGGAAGAGAAGCTGGGCATAGATGCTCCCACCACTGAATAAGGTACTGTGATGGACTGTGCTGTAAAAGCTTGTAAGTGCTGTCAAAACATGTGAAGGACTGTGAAGGGTTGATGCCTCACAGAGCCAGAGAACCTAGAATGACAGGCTGCTCAAAGGGATTTGATTGGTTAGCATCAGTTGAGCAGAAAGACTTGGGAACTGACTGCTGAAGAGAACTCAGTTTAACTCTCACTGAGAACTGGAACAGTTTAGCTCTAATTGAGAAGAATTTAGCACTGACTGAGAACAGTTTAATACTGACAGAGGACTGGGAAGGCTGGCAAAGATGAGTGGGAGGATCCATGAAGATTCCCATTCAGGACAGGAAAGGGATAGGTCATCTAGTTAGAGAAGTGATTCCCTGCCCAGCTGGAAAGGGAGATAGCTCAAAGAGTGGAGTGATCCCTGGTGTGTCTAGAGAAGGAATTTGGATACTTGGTAGTGTATCCCTGCCTTCTGAAACCTGAAGAGTCAGTTAAACTCAAGAAAGTGAACTTGCTTAGGAAACACTGCTTAGGAAAGTGCTTAGGAAACACTGAAACCAAAGCCTCTCATCTCAAAGATTCTAAGACTTTGTAAAAAGCTTTAAACTCTCAGTAGCTGGAAACACATGAATGTGAAATTACTAAATTACCTCAGAGTTCATTACTGATTTATCTCAGACATTTTACCCCTGATTTCACCTCACCTTTCCCCCTCTACATTGAATAAAATCTCATTTATTTTTGAACCATCTAAAGCCTCTCATGAACCATTTTCAGAAGTTTAAGTTAAGAGAGTGATCTTGCCTCTCCCCTCAAGTTCCTGGGTTAATTGTTGTTGTTGTTGTTGTCGTCGTTCAGTCACACAGTCAAGTCCAACTCTTCATGACCCCATGGACCACATCACGCCAGGCCCTCCTGTCTTCCGTTGTACTCCGGAGTTTGCTTAATTTCATGTTTGTTGCATCAATACCTCTGCTCTTCCCTGGTGTCATACTGGACACCTTCTGACCTGAGGGTCTCATCTTCCGGCGTCATATCTTTTAGCCTTTTGTTACTGTCCAGGGGTTTTTCTTGGCATACTGGAGTGTATTGCCCTTTCCTTCTCCAGTGCATCACGTTTTGTCTGAGTTCTCTGCTGTGGCCTGTCCATCCTGGGTGGCCTTCCATGGCATAGCCCACAGCCTCATCGAACCACGCAAGCCCCTCGTCATATCAAGGCAGTGATCCATGACAGAGTCCTGGGTTAAACCAGCATCAAAATACAATAAAGTGACAGGCTGGGACAGCCATATATCTTCAGATAAGAAGAAAATAGATAAAGGGGCTGCTCAGTCAGAAAGGAAGAAAAAATGAAGGGAAAATCCCACATCTGAGTGAGGGAACAGGGCTAGGACATCATATTTATATTTGCAGATGTTTGTCCTCATTCAGGCACTAAAGCACATGGAACTTCCCCAGTTCAACAGAGGGACCTGATCTAAGGGATAAAATAAATGGAGCATCACAGGTGCAGCTCTATGGGCTGGATTATACATTCTAACCTGAAATAAGATAGTGGACAAACACAAAATGCTGCCACCGGAAAGCAGCATCTGCCCACATCATCATGCTGGCTCACACATCACGTTTCCAATGCAGTTGCAGCTGCAAAGGCGATTTCATAAGGATTTCAGAACAATAACAACAGTACCAAAATAATTCTAAAAACAACAAATTCAATACAAGCAGCAGAGGGGGAAAGCTTCAAAATTAAAGGCCCCCACAAAGCAAACAAGAGCCAAAGGTTGTCCAAAAGAGTAAGAGAGAACGTAAATCTTTTCATTACCTCTGGAAGGCTAGTCCATTGGAGCAGCCACAGCACAAGCCTGTGAGGGGGCAGGAGCAGAATGTACCCCCGCAGGCATCAGAATGACCAAAAGGCACTGCAGACAGTGGATCCTTTGGTGGCAGAGGGCGCTTAAGCTGCCATTTCTCACACAGTTAAGATGTCAGAGAAATCTGAGTTTCAG